TACTACATATAAACGCTGTAGACGCCGATTTAAAAGAAGAAAAAAAAAATGTATTCAAACGTAATCTTTGTTGCAAATTCAAAGAAATTTGGTAGAAATCGAAGACTAAGCACAGCACTAACACTAAACTAATAGTAAAGCATGTACGTAAGTAGAATACATATAAGAAATAAGTAAACACAAGCTGAAGAGATTCAATTAAAGTAAACATAAAAGTTTGCCGGAGCGAGAACGATGAGAGGGTACGCAGTTATTGCAAAGAGGAGAAATCGAAAGAGCGCATATGTAGATATTTTTTTTAGCATTTCGTTTTAAGAATTTGGATTGTTTTAGATTTTGGAATTTTGAATTTTAATCTTTTTTATTTAATTTTGAATTTCGTTGAATTTTTCTTTTTTTTTGGGGGTTTGCTTCTTTTTCGCCGCACGTTCAAGCTTAAACTTAAGTTGTACCCCAAAACTATATTTTAAATAATTTTTGTTTTTCTGAATTACATATAATTTCTCGTACTTTACCAAACTAATAAAGCAAATGGCACGTAGTTATAGACATAATAAAAGCAGCTTAAAATAAATCATAATAAAAAACTATTCACACTTTAGTTTTTAGACAGAACTTTAATCGAATGTAATCAACTTTTGAATTGAGCAACCGCTTATACATACGTAGGTGTTCACACACAGCCAGCTGTTCGATTGGCGAACTATAGACAATTTTATCAGTTTTTGTGGCAAAAAGTAGTTTTTCGTAGTTATAAAAATAAACCCTTTCTTTAATAAAATAACTTTAATAACTAAATGCCATTTTTTTCTTAATATGAACCTTTGTAAAAAAAACTGCATTTAAACTTTTTCAATAAAACAACGAATTAAAAACAGACCCCACTTTTAGACCCATTGGCCGGCAAGAGCTAAGCATTTTTTGGAAAAATATTTGAAATCATTATTTCATTTTTTTTATTTGAATCTTATTTTTTGTCATAAAAATGGGTCAAATTACCTATAGTGCAGTGATGGAACAGTAGGTACAAATATACTTTTCCCAGCGTTTTTTTTTTATTTGAAAGTGCATTCGTTTTAATCAATTTTTAGTAGACAAATTTTCTCCACCTTTTGTTTGTTTACAATATGATATTTTTTTGAATAGCACAATTATATCTACATATGTATGTATGTACATCGTTTTTTTTCTTTTAATTCCCGAACCGGTTAAAAGAAAAGAAAACGCCGTTCTGACGAACTAATCGACAGGTGCAAAACCGGTTCGAAGCGCTGAACCTAACTGATCTAATTTGTAATCCGGCTCACTTCCCTGATTTTTACACCTGACTTTTACCGAAATCCTGAGTTTAGTGTTTAAATTAATAGAAATCTTTTTACAAAAGCGTGCTTTATAAATCGACTATAACTACGGCCCGTTCTGTTGAAACGTGTAATAAATAAATAAATTAAGAAAAACAATCAAAAAAATTAATAAATGGAAATATTTTTAACTACATAAAATAAGGAAACGGGGGCTTGGTAAAGGACAGGCAGCTAAACTACTTGAACGGAAGGTTGAAATATTTTGGAGCATTAGAGACTGCTTTTCAAATCGTTTTTTTTTGTTTTTTGTTTTGTAAACTTAACCACATTTTTCTTGTTCAGTTTTTAATTTCATTAACTTTTGGGGGTCTAATTTGTTAAGTAGAATTTTCGGTTGAAAATATTTGATTGCATTCAATTCAATGATTGTATGAGTACAAAAAAAAAATAATTTGCACCATTTGACTTTTGTTTTTTTGTTTTGTATATATAAGAAACGGCATGCAAATGCAAGTGAAATATCTACTACTCGGTATTGTAGAATTAAGAGAGCAAAGATTCCAGCAAAGTAGTACAACTTAAAAGTACAGAGAGAACACGCGAAAGCAGCTACAAGAATAGTAAATACTTAAATTTTACATTTTTATAAATAGCTTAGAGCGAGTTCTGTGTCTTACTTAAATAATACTAGATAATAATAAATTTATTTGTTAATTATATAATCGGTACAGCGACGGTACGAATCGCTAGTGTGGACTCTTTTATATAAAATTTGCTTTGTTTTTCAATCGCTCAAAATCTGGGGCCGGAAGTTGGTATCCGATTAAATTCATCCAAAATGTGTGTTTTTTTTTAGCTTTTGCAAATTTATTTTTTTTTTGCTTTTGACTTGAATTTTTTTTCGTGTAATTTTTTTCAAATGAATTTCGAAGAAATTTTGTTTGCCCTCGGTCTAAAAGAACGTTTTTTTTTGGTGCCTAAAATTATACTATCAAAAAGAAATTATAGTACAATCGATTAAAGCGTTTTTTGTTTTTGTTTTTGAATGCAATAGGTAAATAGTACTAAATATGTACGTATATACATATACATATAATTAAGAGTTACTGTTCGTTTTCACAAAGCTACATAAATATAAAAGCTCTTGTGTTCGCAACTCTGATAAAGTGTTTGCATATAAAATATATACATATATATTTGTTTGTTTATTTATTCTTAGCTTTACGCGTATTTTTTTTTTTCATATACAAAAAGTAACAAATGAATTTCAAACTACCTGTCGTACGGCATTTGAGGCTGCTTCACGCGTCGTGAAGGTAACAAATGCATATCCACGATTTGTACCCGTCATCGGATCCATCATTAGTCTGAGGTCCCATATTGTACCGCATTCCTCGAATAACGGTATAATTTCATCCTCAAACATATCTTTTGGAATTTTCCCACAGAAAACTTCGCAGCCATTGCCGGGTGTTGGACCATCCCAATTGGGTGGCGGTCCACCATATTTGCGCTGACCTGGAAAATAAAGTGTAAACAAATAAAAAAAAAAAACAGACGTGGAAAAAAGTTAAATAAACTTGAAAAAAGGTAAAATTTTTTACTATACACATTACCAGTGGTCACATCTAAGGAGTAGCCAGTTCTTTCGAGAATTTTTTTGATTTTCTCCTCATCCGGTCCCTTAACTGGAACTGTGGCCGCTGGCGCTGGCACTCCCTGTTGGCTGGCGCGGCTTTTTTGTCTGTAGGTTTTCATAACACCACATAAATACGCAGACTTATTCGATACATGCTCCAGATTTGATTCGAGGAACTGACTCAATACATTCAAGGCACCATCAACCGGAAACTCTTTGAGCGCATCGAGTGCGCGCTCATCTAATTCTACATGCGCTAATTTACCTGTTTTGTAAATATCATCGAGTTTGCCGGCAACCTTTCGAAAGAGAACAATAAAAAAAGTGTGGTTACAGAATGTGAAAATCGTACATCTAAATTTTTATATCTAAATTTCAATTTTATTTTAGCAAAAGAGAGTCTTCTGGCAAAGGCGTGTCCTAAGGGAGTAGCACATCATAACATCCCCGGTGCCTTCTAAGGTTGGCGACAGAGTGTTTGCCAGAAACGTTGCTATGCGAAACAACAAACTGAGATTATTGGAAGGGACAAATGCTTCTGAGTCAAAAGCCATTTTTTAGCCTGCAAAGGATATTTTGCCCAAGTCTCATTTTTGTGCAATAAAATTTAGGGCATAGTATGTTAAAGCGAGCGATTGGCTTCCGAAGTTTGTTGCGCGGAGATAGGCCT